TTTCTTCATAGTCATCGCCGTGAAAACCTCAAAACTTACATGCAGTTTACATGTTTACGTCTATTTGTAGTTTCATAAAATGATCGTTAAATTTAAATGCAGAGATTAATTTTCTGCCTGCCATTACATGGCTCGTTACCAGATAGTTGAAATGCTTGTTAGAAAAATGATTTTACATTATATGCCATTCATTCCGGAACAAATAATTTTTCAGTTATTTTGGTCGGTGTGTCAGCTTATCTGCTCATTGCAAGACCTGTATCAACACAATACCACATATTCCATTTTCTAAAGAAACCCCGACTTATAGAATCTAGCAGAGTCAAACAGGTACAATATTCTGTCGAAACAAGCCACGAATTATTTTGAATGTCAATCTTGCCTCTTTACGGACCTCGAACTTGAACCGTTTAAGGGGGTGAGTAGAGGGTGCGCCATCTACGTACGGCTCTCCTTCCACCATTGCTGCTTGCACCCTGCCGAGTTGCGCAGATGACAGTGTTAGCGAGAACGAAACGCTACCATGCAGAGAGCTACCACACAGAGAGGCGTGCTCTGTGAAAGGAGAGCAGCGTAGTGCTTGCAGCTGGTGGATGCCTTCTTTTGTGCCGTTATGAGAGTGTGCTGCTGGAGAAGCGGTATTTATTTATTTATTTATTGTATATGTGGTAGTGTGTAATGCTGTGAATATGCCAATAAGTACAGCCGACTGTTCTGCAAGATTCACGCAGGCATAATAAAGATGACTGTGTAAGTATGACTAAACATACACAATTCTAGTAATATTAAGGCATCGTAAAATATAAATTAATAATGATTTCGGAAGTTAGGACGTTTATTAATATAGGAAAATTATAGGATAGAATGCCAATTACAGTGGCCGAGCGGTCTAAGTTGTGAACCGTCTTCATCCGCTCGAACACTGGGATCATGTGCTCGAATCCCACTCGAGGCATATTCTGTATTTATGTTGCCCTGTGTGTAGGTAGCGGCTTTGTTACGGACTGATCCCCTGTCCAAGGAGTCGTACCGACTGTGTATACATTAAGAAACTGAAAAAAAAACGGCCAAGGTCCCTAAGGGCTGTAGAGCCATTGATAGATATGCCCGAACTGATATACGTGGGAACATGCCGATATGAAAAAGAACGGCACGAACAAACGTGGTTCACAATACCAGAGCGGAAGCAGCCATGCTTAGCGAGAAATAATTAAACCGTTTAGTTCTCTACTGAGACATGACTTATATCACATAGATTTTCGCAATTTTTCAAGGGAATGTCATGCTTCCTAAACGATTAACCCATTTGTAGTCATCATGCCTCAGTTTTATTGTACGATACATGTCATTACTTGTTACATCGTTAAATAACACACGAAAGAAAATATTGTCTCATATGTTTCGATTAAAAATGAAATTCAGAGATATCATTTCATTTTGCAAGTATATTATGTTATTTAGTTTTTGAGTTGACATAAATATTTGTGCCTGTTTTTTAGAATATGGTTATTTTCCTTCGATATTATTGTACTTTTAAATTAAACGCGCGGTTTTATGTAAATTTTTGCAAGGATTAAATTTAGTATAATATGTTATCCGAACTCTTAAACCTGTACAAGTAATTTGTTAATTTGGGCACTGTGGCAAATCAGTTCGCATCATTCAACCGCAGAAAAATTTGTAAGCAAAGTCCAAAACGGGCTTCGTAACAGAGGTTTTTTAACGTTAGTATAAGGGAATGAACCATCGTTTGTAAAATCTTGACTCCTCTCAGAGTGATACGGCTAATTCCACTGTTTTAAAATAATAAATCTCTTCAAAATGACCTGTCAGTAATATATTAATAAAAGGGGATCATTCAAAAATATATTTAATTTTGCACAAATGGTGCAGTAACATGCTTTGGTGCGTAATTGACCGTCCATGAACACAAGTCGCTGCATGATTGTGTAGGGGTTGAAAGTTAGATATTGCTCTGCCATATTACAGACGACAGGTCTGAATTTGGGAAACAACCATTCCAGAAGAGTTATTTACATTCATACGAACAATATTAACTCTACCTCAGAAATAACGTGGAAAAGACATACTGAAGTTTAGAAATAGTACTGATTTTTGCTCCTTGCAGTAATGCTATTAACGTGAAGTTCAACCAGACACAACAACCCCCCACCCCCACCCCGACGTCACTATTAAACACAATCGCCGATATAAGGCAGTGTCGTTACGTTACACAACCTGTATGGGTTGGATGTATCGATATATATTGACTATATTAATGTATTCATATTTAGGCCTGTACTATTTTACGCAGAAATCTTTGTCTCATTGCGGTGGAGGATGAACTCTGGAAGAAAATACGGGACGTTAGTCAGTTTTCCCCTTTCTTAGCCGTTCTTATATAGAAACAAAGGGAATATTGCCAGGATCGGATTTAAGGTGTCCACAAAATAGAAATGTTATCCACAGATTTTTTATTGACATATCTTCTCGTTTAAAATCACGAACAGTTTGTGTTTTTAGTTAGTGGAATAAGTAAGAAAACCACCATAACCCTAATTTATTATTATTGTTAAGAGTGTTCACATGTTGACTACTCCCAGGCCCCCACAACTGTAAACCGGCTTATGAATATTGCCGTGTAATAGCTTCGTAGCTTCTCGGTTTACAGTTGTGCTCTGCCAGGCTTGTGAAGACCACATGTTGCGGTGACTATGGACTTTGATTTATAATCCTATGAGAGGAAGAAAGCAACTGTCGCCTGTATTATTGGACGGCCTCCGTATGTGTTCAAAGAAATGGGTAGAAGTTACGAAACATTTTCAATTTACATTATCCAAGGTACGACCTAGAAACCTTATAGATTCCAGCCTCCTCTAGCACTCCCAGTCCCAGATACTGACAGTGTCACCTGAGCTACTTTCTTTTGAAAAGTAATATAACAAAACTTTAACTGTTAATTTTTTCGTGGTGGTTCATCACCTTCTTTCCCGTGTACATGGAGAAGTAAAAAAAAAAAAAAACTTAGTTAATCTTAATTCCAAATGATGGTTAGTGTATCTCATATAATTTATGTATGAAATTTCCCTTCGGCAGTTCTATTCTTTGGGGAATTTTGAAACTGTGCTGCTTGTTCATGTGATTTTGTAAAATTTTAGCGCACTTTCTCTAGCCTCATTCTCTGTCGTGTGGGACAGAGAATATGACACTGCAGTGTCGATTGACGCTGTAATTATATGTTTACAATTCTAATAAGTAGACGGCTCAGGGACATCCTATTGGCATTACCTAACCAAATGAGTAAGAAGTCATTTGACTGGAGATGGGTAATTCGGCAACGGTGACCTCAGATGTGGTATTCAAGTAGGTGGCTAAAGATGATGGCTTGTAAATCTTTCTTTTTCGTCATATAAGGCCGTGCCATAGCTCAGGCGGTTAGTTTCCTGCTGCCCACCACGGCGGCCCTGGTTCGAACCCAAGTAAAGTTATGTGGGATTTGTGGTGGACAAAGTGGCACTGGGGCAGGTTTTCTACGAGTGCTTCGATTTCCCCTGCCAATTCTCATTCCACCCACGACTTCACATTCATCATATCCGGGGCTTGTGCAGTAGGCCAACTAGAGGCCGACGTACCAAGTGGACTCAGTAATACCCCACCCCAAGAAACTAAAAAAAATAAATGTAACCATTTCTTACAGATATGTCGGTTCACTTTAACTGAATTTGCCATAAATTCGATCATGTCGGAGGTTACCAACACTTTCAAAATATCAGAACTTGGACCTTATAGTGTCGAATAATACAATGATTGATGAACAATGAATAGCAGTGGGTTAGGAAGGAAATTTGATGGCCTGATCGAGGTAATGTTCCGAAATTACTTAGAGAGACTGAAGAGAACCTACGAAGAACCTCAGTCAGGGCAGCTGGTGTACGGGACGAAATTCGAACCCCGTATCTTCCGAATACAAACGTAGAGCATTACCGCTACCCCAGTCGGCCCCCCAAGAACAGTATATGAACTTCGGTTCGGAAGTAGATTTATCTTGTGGTATTCCTGTTTATGATACCTTACAATCTTTTAGGTGGTTACCAGTCTTTCGGAGGAAGGTGCTAACTCCTTATTCAGACAAAAGTGAAATCGGGGTTTCTTTGACTTTGGTCCCCGTCTTTGGTTCATTCGATTGGCTGTAGATATTGAGGATAATGTGCGTGAGGTTGGCTCAAGTGTAGTACTGAAGGCCAAATTTAACCACACCATACATTTCTGTCAGTGATAGTGAATGGAACATTTAGCATTGCCCGTTAGTTCGCACTTGAACAAGTCTCACGCATGTAATGATGAAAACCCGTTTAAAATAAGCAAAATATTTCACACTTACTACAACAAAACCAAATTGTGCAAATATTGCATTGTATCAAACAGGTTTATTTTTAATCTGTTAATATGGGCGTATATGCACTGTCTTCGCTCTCTCGGAAACCTGGATCATGGGTTCGAATCCCACTCAGGGCATGGATATTTAGTGTGTGCGCGTGCATGCGTGCGCGCGCGCTTCTCTGTTAGTATGTGCAGGTAGAGGCCTTATGACGAGCTGATCACCCGCCCGAGGAGTCCTACCGAATATCTAAGGTCTAGTAAACCGAAGTGAAACGAAGAGTTTTATGGAGGTAGCGCCAAAAGAAAAAAGTATGGGCGTATACATACGAAAGAAAAGTACGATAACCATTTAACAAATTTCTTGGTGAAGTCAAATCAAGTATAACTTTTAAAGCCTGGGACAAAAAGATACCAGGATGTTTTCCATTAGTTAACAGAAAGAGAAGTCGATGGACAGAGTTGTTGGTTCTAATAAAATGGTACTTTTAGTTCCTTAAAAAGCACACTCACGATTCATATTCATTTTCAGGATCGATTCTCGTTCGAATAACCTGTCGAATATTAAAAGTATTAGATATTGAGAGGTTACGACGGACTAAACGTAGAGTTCGGATGGTGCAAATCTGGTATGTGTATAGAAATTTGCCGTTACATTTATGGAAATTGTCACTTAACAGATACAAACGCGAAAAAAAAAAATATTAAATTCAACATAAAGAAATATAGGCTGTGACGCAGTCGGTCAGAACTTTTCAGTAGAATTCCTTTAGTTCTGGATCTTCGATATTCATCACCAGAAATATTATATTTGAGGTTCATACATCGCTGACTATTAAGAGTTCTGTCTGCTCTGATATAACAGTGATTAGCCCTTTAAGTTCAACCGATATTTCGGAGGAGCATACCACCTCAATCCTCCCGATCGAAGAATAAGCCAAAAATGGAACCACTATGAAGTAGGCAGCAAACGGAACCTGCTTCATGCTGGTTTCTTATTTGGCTTAATTTTCAACCCTGAAGATGGAGGCCACATATTCCTCCGAAATGTCCCTTGGCTTTCACCAAACTACATGGCGTTTATAACCCAGAAGACAGAACTCTTATTACAAGAGACTTTGATGATAAGTCGATTACATTCTCTAATCACTGGCATCAATAGACTCGTGTATGTCCCTGAGAGGGTTACGAATATCGACATTCAGGAATAAGATTAAGGAGTTATTTATTGTAGCATGTAGACCCGTTGTTAAGCGGTGAC